TCGGGGTCCCCCATGTCGTGGTTTCCACAAAAATGACTTTTATTGTTTATTAAGCTTATCCTAAGAATAATAAACTTAGCAAAACAAATTTTGTTTAATATAAAATAAAATTATTTTATATTTAGCATAAAATGAATTTATCTTATATTTGTATAAATATACTGTATTTATTTTATACTTAACATAAAATAAAATCATTTATAATATTAAAAAAAAACTTTGTTTATATTAAACTAAGCATAAACCAAATTTGTTCATGCTAAGCATTGCTTATTTATACCAAATATTGCAAAAAATGATTTTATTATATGCTAAGTTTAGCACAGAGCAAATTTAAAAATTAATTTGACTGGTACACCTATAATAATAACAGTTTATAAAATTATCACTATATCTAGCAACAAAAATTTTTAACATTAAAATTGTCGGTATGTCGGTATAATTAGTATCTCTTATGATTGTCAGTATAACCAACGAATTTTTAAAATGATATTTTTGAAAAAAGTGTCGATATAACCAATTGTCGGTTAATCCAGCTATTGGTATAACCAGAGTAACGTGTACAATAAGATTTGTATAGTTCTCATTATCTCTTAGAATATAGTGTTTATATTTATTTTTTCATACTTTTAACAGTATAAGTTTTTTTTTTGATTTGCGTAATATATATTATGTTTTTAACAAGATCTTGGATCATAAGATTCTGTTTGGATCGGGATAATGGTCTTGTATTAATGCATTTATTAATGCCATTTTAATGTATAAAATCAGCCAATTACAATAAAACCCGTGCTGATTCGGTCCGAGTCCGGTTTACACAAAACCCGAACCGAACAGTACGGATCTCACATTAGCTGCTACGCCATGATAAATTGAGCTACATTTTTACGATTTAACATTCTAATAAAGAAATTTGAAAAAAAATATATTGGATTCCCTGCTCTATTCTTTATTCAGTATAATGGTATGCAGATTTCGGAATTTTATACTCTTAACGCACCCATACAACCAACTATCTTTCTTGTTGCTAGTTTCGCAACCAATACGATAACGATATTTCAACTTGGAGCCCTCAAGGTCGTATTCACCAAGTAGAATATGCATTAGAAGCCGTGAAACAGGGGTCTGCTGCAGTTGGACTTCGGTCAAATACTCATGTTGTTTTGCTAGCGCTCAAGGTAAATTGAAAAAGAATAGTTTTTATAACATATAAAGTTCTTGTGGACGAGAAACTTTCATTAACGATCATTTAATTAATAGAGATCGTCTGGAGAGTTGGCCTCTTATCAAAAAAAACTTACTATCATTGATGATCATTTGGGTATTGCTATTGCTGGGCTAACTTCAGATGCACGAGTACTGAGGTACTCGTTATTGTCATCGATTTTATTTTATAATTTACATTTTTCTTAACAAATAAAATTGAATATAGCAATTTTATGCGTACCGAAGCCATGAAATCTAAGGTTATTTATGGGCGACCATTGCCTATTTTCCGTATCGTATCAGCAATTGGTGATAGTATGTGTCAACTCAGTCTTAATTAAATTTAATCTATTTAATCTGTTTGAAATTTGTAATTCATTTGATCTCTTCTAATCTAGAGGCACAAGTCAACACCCAAAATTACGGACGTAGGCCATATGGTGTTGGTCTCCTAGTCGCCGGATATGATGTAGATTAACTATTATAACTTGATTTAGCTCATTTAATATTCGCGGCTTTATAAACTTCCTTTTTTTTTAATAGGAAACTGGTCCACATCTTTACGAATGCGCACCTTCCGGAAATTTCTTTGAATATTACGCAATGTCAATTGGTGCGCGATCACAGTCAGCTAAGACTTATCTTGAAAGGTATTATGAGAGTTTCGCGGAAGGTATTTTATTTCCCATTGCTTCATATTTGTGAATTTCCATTTTGGAGGTATTTAGCTTATATTATTATTTTTTTCTTATACAGCATCGTTAGATGAGCTTGTTCGACATGGACTTAATGCTCTACGTGATACATTACAACAAGATAAAGAACTTAATATGGACAACTGTTCTATTGGGATAGTTGGTGCAGATTGTAAATTTAAGATTGTAGAAGGAGATGAATTAAGACGATACTTAAACTTGCTAGATAATACCGATATCGGTGACACCGTTCAAGGGCAAGCACCTATGGATACAGAATAGTGCTTGAATCCGGATATTTGGACAGGCATCTATTTTATATTTCTTAAACCCGGATTTACAAACGGATGTTTGTTCAGTTATTCGATTATAATTCAGTTTGTATCATGTTTATATTATACATTTATTAGCTTATTGTTAAATTTAACTTAATAAATGAATATACGAATCAATATACTGTACGTGATGGATATTATAACTACTAAATGGTAGTTGACGCATATATACATATGTAATATTGAAAGAGAAAATCTCCAACTACCCCAGTAGAGATGGATCCTCAACGTTGACTGATTAATCGATCAGTATTCAATTTGTTTAATCATAAAAATTATGAACGGCTAAGAACAGATTAATAGGAAATATTTTTAGTTTGTTTGGTAGAAAACAAGTGGTTTGATTAGTCGATTATCATGTGATTTTATTGACTAAACAACCCAGTGTCTCCTGGAGAAATGTTAACCAGATGCAGTTTACCAAAAATAATTCCTTGGTTTTCATAATCCGACCAGATCAAAATTTGAAATCTTTCAATTAAAAAGATGGCCGGTCTGTTTTAGTTATTTATGAAAACTAAGACATTAATTTTGTATAGCCCTATTTTACTAGATAAAAAATCATATCACATGCAAGCCGGCGAAATAATCTAATCATTATTCTATAAATCACGCTATATTATGTAATATCAATCTGGTGATATTAAATTAAATTCAATTGCGTTAAGTTGCTGAATATACATAACCAAATCCTTTTGCCAATTTCTTTAATATTAGATAACTTTTGAATAAAATCTGATCAATTGCATTCTCATGGTTCTAAGTTAAAATCTTTAATGCAATTATTAATATACTCATTTTTGCTTGTTGGGATCATATGTTAGACATGTTTTTTTTATTATAATATACACTTATTGCTTATTTAGATTACTGTTTAATTATTGTTAAATATTATATATATTTTTTATAGAAAATTTCTAAACCTACACTAGTGTATAAACACGGGTATTAATTAATTGATTTGAAATCCGTATAATATATAATTTCATAAAAAAAAACTACTTAATATTTGAGTTAGAGTTAAAAGTATTTTATACTAAAATTTTGTATAGATTATTTTTTGTTAGAACCCCAAAGTCGTTTTGGTTGATCTATAGTATAGGTAGTTAATATAGAATTATTATAAGATTATAATAAATAAAAATAACTATTTAAACTAATTTAAAAAAATTTATCATCAACTCTTCCCAACGATCCCTTGGACCAACTTTTTATAACAAAAATTTTTCAACAAAAACAGTAAAACTATGCTAGAAAAGAAGAACATAAGACTGATGAGAACCATAAACCAGTACCTATTATTTAGAGATAGTTCTCATATGCTATCTGCTAATAGGTTCAGAGCTTATCACTCACCATAGGAATGGCACTTGTTATTTAGAAGTAGTTCTCATATGCTACTTGCTAACAAGTTCAGAGTTTATCACTTACCAAAAAGAATATCAGCAGTGTGCTTAGATATAATTGTCTTACTACTTTTAAAGAAATATATACTCTCTTTAAAAAAAAGTACTAGGTCTATACTCTTTACAATTACCTACTTGCTTTTCAACAAAATTTTCATAAAAGTAGGCAAAACAGCTTACTTCTATTAAATGATTGCTATTGTTTACTCCTTTCAAATTTGGATGAACTAGTAGATTGCAACTATATATATTGTCAGATAAACTAATACATTGCTACTTCATATGACTTACCAAGAACCAAGTGTTGTATGTCAACCAAAGCAAACATATAGTTAGAAAGTAGTTGTATTCTTGATTTTAATTTATATTTAGAGATATAGAAATATTGTATTTGCTATATAATTTTTTCTTAAGCCTAGCACAGGTTATAATAGTACAATCTGTATATAGACTTTTTTACTTATTGTCTTCTGCTACTTGTATAAAGTAGTATTTTTTTTCTCTATTGGCCTGTTTTGGGCTTAACTCTTTGTATTTTTTTTTTTGCATAGTTATTGGTTTACCTTTTTTTTTCCTTTTATTCTCATACTTTCTTTTTGTTTGTTTTTTTGTTTTTCTTTTATAATACTTCATTTTCTTTGTAATATATATTCTGTATCTTAATTAGGGTTGAATCAGTTCTAAAAAAGACTAGTCCAGAACTGGTTTTGAACTGGGACTGATAAGAACCATTGGACTATTAAAAGACTGGTCCAAAGACTGGTTCTTGTAAAATAACTGATATTTGTATCACCCAATCAAATTTCTTAATCAGGTGTAATGTAAATCATTTGATATTTGTTTATATCTGATAGTAAATAATTACATTATTTTAGGCCAATAAAATCTTATGCATTAAGATTGATGTAGTCATTTAAGAACTATTATGGGACTGAAGGACTGGACTGGATTAGACCATAAATACTATAATAATGGTTCTCTTAGAAACCAGACCAGACCAGACCAGACTGATGCAACTCTAATCTTAATACAAAATGTTTTCTTTTGCTCTTGGTAGAAAAAGAAATTAAAGAGTTTAAGCTTGAGGTGAGCTAACAAAGTCTCCTAAATCTTTAGATTTTGGTATGATAGATCACATCTGAGCATGTTTTATATAGCTGGGTAATGCTGAGCTTGCAATTTCAAATATATAGTCTAGTTTATAAAAAAAAAATTTTTCTTTATAAAATTATTATAATAAATTTGTATTTGAGCTTTGTCGAAACCGTCAAAAGTTTAATAATAATAATATACTTATAATTTTTAAATCTTTATTATTCTTTTCTGTGTTCTATCTTTTTATTAAAAAACTTTATATAGATTAATTTTTGAAAATAAATATTAAGTAAGAACTAAAAATCTATAATTAATAAACAAAAAAATATAACTAATACTTTCCCTAAATATGTAAACCAACACTAGCAAATTTGTCTATATTTTTGCACTTTTTTAGCTCTGATCTATTTTTTTAAAATACTAAAATATCTAAATAAAACTTTATACAATTATATTTGAAAATAAGGATTACTTTTTTGCAAAATTAACTTTTATAGTATAAGAAAAAATTTAAATTGCTAATAAGCTAAAAATAAATAAGTTTAAAAAATTTTTAATCAAAAAAATTATTTATAAATTCTTGACAAACTCTTTAAATATTAATTTTTTTTTTTTTTTTATTTTTTTTTTTTATTAATATAATATCATAGTAGAAACTTTATTACAATAAACCTATATTAATCTAGAGATTAATGGT